CAGGAGAGGAACGCACACGCATAGCTGGCAATGGCAACAAAGTGTTGGCTAGTCCCTCTAGGGTTGGAATGGCAAGCACCTCTCAATTGAGTCCATCCAAGCATAGTAAAAGTGCTACACCCACCAATAAGACTCCCTCTTGGACCATCCAAACTGTTACCGGTTCGTAGGAGTTTCCTTACTATTAAATTAGAATGATTAGAAATTTGTTGTCAGTAAGCTCCCTCACTGCTGAGTACTGGTTATAACTGGCTTGCTATATTGGGAGCACCCTTCAAACTTATCTTAAGTGTTGGCATGCCCTCTTTTTTTTTTTAAATCAGAAGTCTTTCTTTATATGTGTATCTTTTAAAAGACTAATTGTGAAATCTATGATTGGAGGTCGAAACCAATTGATCTTATCAGTTGAATGCTAGACACATTACCGTTCTTTAAATGCTTTGGTTGAAGACTTCTTTACTGTCACTGAAGAATCTATTTTATATCTATTAGTTAGGATACATTTTCTTGACTCTAAATATGAGAATAATTTTGACTGTTGTAATTTTTTTACAGATCAACCTTCAGGTTTTACGGTAACAAGTCCTGTTCTAAAAGAATGCGCTGCTAATAATGGGGTGAGCGTGAGCTTAGTCGATACTCCCTCCAGAAAAAGACTGTCCAGCACTCCTCGATTGAGTCCATCTAAGCATTTCAAAAGTACAAGTCCCAGCAAGCTACCATCCTGGACCATCAAATCTATTCCTGGTAATCAGAGTGGCTTCACTAAATACAATTAAAATAGAAAGTTGTTAAAACAGTTCTAATGTGTGATAATCTTATGTTAGATTCTGAAATTAGAATGCCTTGTATACTTTTGCACCAAGTGTTTTTCTGTAACACTAATTAAATGTTTATCTTTCCAGTTAAATCACCGTCTCGCCCTCTAGAGAACACTGAGATTTCCAGATGTTCTCCGAAGCCTGTTGACGTTACACCCAGAAAATTGATTTCATCTTGGACTGTGCATGCAGCTGAAAATATCAGTACAAGTGATAGAGGTCATAACAATTTTATTTCCGGTAATTTTATCAGTCCCTTTTATTTTCATTTTTTTTTTTTGAAATGGCAATCCATTTTTCTGTTTTTTAATGTTCTAGGCCAGTCTGTGGGGAGCCCTGCTGACAAGGCACATGCCAGAAAGGTTTCTTGTGGTTCTGAAGCTACTCCTTCTCTAACTGTAAATGACACTGGTACTCCCAACAAATTGTTATCTCTCCATGGTACCCATTCTAAGACAAATAATGGTAAGCCTGTCATGAAGAGAGCATTGAATTTCTAAATGCATTGCACATTCTTGTTTGTATGGTTTTTTTTAAAGTGATAAATTTTAATTGCAGTTCAGAAACAAAATATCAATCTGGGAAAGTCCATTGATAAGGATAACTCACCCTCTAAAACTATTGGAAATACGAATAGTTTGTCTAGCAAACAGATATCAGCCAAAGGTAACATCTATTTTTTTTTAAATATTGTGTTACTTGTGACACAATAATGATTTTATTAGCCTGTCATGAAGAGAGCATTACATTTCTAATTGCATTGCACATTCTTGTTTGTATGGTTTTACTAAAGTAATAAATTTTAATTGCAGTTCAGAAACAAAATATCAGTCTGGAAAAGTCCATTGACAAGAATAACTCACCCTCTAAAACTATTGCAAATAAGAATGGTTTGTCTAGCAAACAGATATCAGCCAAAGGTAACATCTATTTTT